ATGTGAAGGAGAAAGGAGGGAGGCGTCAGCAGTAGCCTGTTTTCGCTTACTCGCCCTGCTGTATGCAGCAAGTAAGGCGACCCGGCTGATGGCACCACGCGACGGCCGATGTGGCATGAGGATATTGTTAGTTGTGTAGGTCATGGTTGTACGAGGGCTGGGATACTGCCAGGGCGCCTACACCTAGACAGGAGGACGATTAGGGTCCTCAACCAAAGCCTTTAGCTCAAAAGCCTAACGGCAAGGCAGCGGTGTTTGGCGGGAAATGCAAATGCATCATCATTTCTACGGAACAAGTCGCCACATGTTCCAACCCCCAACCTGGATGGCCAGGAGACTGTGTTCGTCAGACCTCTAACCATTGACCAACCTGGTATGAGAGACTCTGTGAGTGTCGCGGGACACTCTCCAGTATAGCTCAATGGATCGCTGAGGTGCGCAAACCGTCACCACGGTAAGGTCCAGTCTCTTCGTGACGGTTAGGGGCAAAGATTCTTCATTTATCCCGAACATTTTGTATCCACCATATCGGTTGTCCCTTGGTCTTGGGGTAGGCAGTCTTGCACAAGTGAAGTCGAGGCATTGCAGTTCTGTCGACAATTCTGTTGCGATTTCGGGTTCAGACAGGTAACTTGGACTATCACTGTCATAAATTTCGAAAACCTTTCTCAGGGGAGGAACGGTATGGAACGCTATTGGGCGGTAGCGATGAGACAGTTATCATGGATATTTGTAAGCAACCAGCATGGTTGACTCGTCGTACATCCAGGTAGCTGTTATTAAGTACGTGCACCTTCAGTTGGTTGAAAGGATTTAGGGATAGTCATTCTTAAGTGTGCGAACTAACCTGGACTATATGGTAGTGGACTTGAGCTGTCATCGGTGTATACTCGTTTGACAGTAAGTGTTTTTATATGTACGGCCGTGACCCTGTGATCAGGACTGGTTTATTGTGTAGACCTGATTACTTCATTTGTTATAGAGAAGTTTTGAGATATTTATGATCACACTGTTTGTCAGTAGACTGGAAACTCAGTAGCAACAGCCGACCAAGTCAGTGGTTTGCTCACGACGCAGCATTTGCTCTATATGTTAAGGAGCGCTGATGATGTGATGGATGCACTACCGCATTTGATTATCCCAATACGTCTGATGCATTGGAGATCTTTTACTAAGCAGGTTTCTATGCGCACCACTAGACTGGCACCTGACGTAAACAACTTCTCACAATTCACTTCTTACTTGGTGAGTTTCCTGTAAAGTGTACCCGTCTGCAAATCCGCCAGAAATGAGGAGAACTCATCGCAGAGTAAAGTAAAGCATTGTTAGAATGGATCTTTAACCCCAGTAAGTAGCCACTACCTTCCGATGCATGGTATTTGGAATAGTATTTCGGAGTGGGGTGAGTAACCCTGGAAACGGTATCCCGTCCTCGGAGGCCTGAAGAAAAGCGCCTTTGTGAAATCTCTAAAACGGTAGCCTCCCTTTGCGGAAACCCTCTTGAAGGGTTTTGCTGTGTGGCATTTACGTCCTGTTTTGTGTTTTACTGCCCGCACGTGCATTTTGGTTGATGGCATGATGGTGACGTACATAAGGGGCTATGAGGACAATGAGCTGAACGGTCTACCAATCACTACTTTGAAGTGGCGTTCTTGTTTACTAAAAAGGTACACTGATTGGGGTTCCCATTATACGATCACTAGCAATGAGCCCTGGAGAATACTTGTAAATTCTAACTAACACATCAACATGTAAGTTCAAAATAGTGATGAAACTTCTTCGTCATTGGAGATTTTTGCATGCGTAACCTTGAAAGTGAAGATAAACTTTGAAGCGCAGAATTTATAAGGTTCCTTTTCGGATGAAAACACTGGTATTTCTTGTCTCGGTGTAAAGCCGTGTGGAGTTGGTCAATAGTTAATAGTCGGTGTGAAGGCAAGCCAAGCCCCCTATGACTGTGGACGCACAAGCCAATCATGTAGCATTCAGTCCATGTAGGTCTTAGGGTAACCAAGCGCAGGTAATCTTCCTCTATCCGAGACGGACGTTCACTTGCAACTGCGAATCATTTGCCTACTGGATGACCCATCTGAGCGTTGGTCCTATAGTCACACCGAACCAACTGTCGTGATATGGTCAAGTAACCGGAGATGTGATTTCCACATTCTTTAGGGTTAAGAGCTCGCTTTTCTAGTCAAGTTTGCATGCCTATGGCCCACTATTCTTCTGTTGCGAGAACAAGCGTGTGCCTTGGCTAACCCCCACTCGTCTGCACACGTTTATGAATTATACCTACTAAGTGGGACTATCGGTGGTGGAGTGGTTATGTGACCGAACTATTCCATTTTCCCGGTGGAATCCTTCGTTTGAAGCACAATTTTTACATGGCTGTCATCAATTTTTCCATAATCAGTAAACTGATGAACCGACTACGTAGATGTTATTTGCATACTAATTTCGTATTCAATAAACGACTCAATCACGATGGACTGATATACAATGTGTTTATCTTCTGATTGCTCCAGATGAATAGCTCCCATTGACTTATAGTCACAATGGCTGGTTTGGAAGATCACCTGTATATAAAAGCCCAACTGAGTGACACACAGAATTTCAAACCAAGAACAATAACGCTTTAAGATTTATCACCAACTTGTCGCACTTTGTGAGCATATAAATTAAATTTTTAAAAACCTTTGAATTATAGGTAGTTCTATCTGAATCATTATACAAGTTCGACGGAAATCTTAGAAGACTCAGCTGAATCTCTCGTTGATGATATCCTTCAGCTAAATGTGATTCACAAAGGTACCTTCCTACTTCAGTTGGTACGATATTTAAAATACCGCAGTGTATTTTCATGAAGGAAACTATTCACAAGGTCGCTGAAAACTCTTTCACAGCCCTCAGTCTTGCCATTCATGGGGTTCATCAGGTAGGCGCAGTCACCGAGTCTCCATCCACCTTGTGTTCTACTTTAACCCAAATCAGACAGATGTTGACAAATACTCATTTGCATATCAATTTGATTTCCACGAGGGACTCTGTCGTTCATGCTATGAGCTGGCCTTTGTGCAGCGCATTCAGTGATTTAGCTACAAACACATGCACTGAAGAAATACGGTTAGAAAGTTTGCAAAAGTTAGTCCAGCAAGTCAAAGAAGGTTACGCATAAGGACACGACCTAGAGCAGACACTTGAAAGACATCATTCGGCACACGAAACAGTTTGGATGGTGGAAAGAAGGGACACCTCTGCACCAAACTTAATGTAGATTTCATTACATTCCACTTGGTACCTAGCACTAAAACAATGAGCTACGATAGTGATACAGTTTATTTTACCACGTCCGCGTCTCTTCCCCATTTGGTTCCCCACAACCGTCCCATTCAAGTGTAGCAGCGGTCACGGTCCCCCTCGAACATGTGCCGCTCGTTTGTTACGCACCACCCAACACCGAACCATCCGCTTTTCTTCTAGAAGTCAATTGTGCTATAACCGCAGCAGTAGAAAGTATTCTTTACCAAAGGCAGTCCACCATTGCTTGAGTCGACCTCCAACATCGAATATATCAGTACTACACTTCAGGATTTTTCAACACGGGAACAAATGACATCCATGATAGCAACAAATATTTCGGAGTCAGTACAACAGTACTGTTAGAATCGTCCTACCTTTTAATCAGATACCTCCCCGGTGATTAGAACGATCATTTTCTTATAGAAACACATCGTTCTTCACTTGGACGCAGGCTGAAACCCCGTAACTCTTCTCAAACCTATTTCCATCCCAACGAACTTCGTGCCTCCATCATCATTTCTTCAGAGTCCCTTCACGGTTGACGAAAATGGAAAATGATGTGAGGGGCAGGCCAATTGATAGGATACTTCTATGTGTACCACACAAAATTTCAAATGTGTAAAATGCGGGCATATCGCTTTTGCTTAGGATGGTGTCAGCAGGTTTGAAACACCAAAAGTTGTAGAGGTTGTTTTCTTTTGGAGGGTAGTCCGGGTCTATATTAGTTTCGTTGTTACCTGCTCAGCTGGGATAGCTGACTCCAATTCACATCCCGTGACATATCTTGTGGAAATCGAAACACAATATCTTTGTTGTATGTTTCTAGAACGCGTGTTGTTGTTTGACGATGCTTTTTGTTACCGTGTGACCTCCAGAGAAACTGTTGGATTGTTCAGTTTGCTCAGGCAGAGCGATATTTTTAAAAAAAATCATCTACGAAGTACCGAGAGCTTTGAACTTGGTAAAATGCCTTTATCTGCGTCGTTCGTCGAGCTGAAAAGTGATGTTGACTAGACGTGCGTTGTTTTTCAAACCTTTTATGAGTTAGGACTTAAACCTGATGTGTCAAGCCTCTACTCACCGTAGCTTTATCCGCGACAAATAGCAGGGAAAAAACAAATTCTTTCCGGAGGTCGGCTGCTGAGGCAACTAAAATTTGGCCTGTTTGTGGTAGGGGGACTTGGCAATTTTGAATCGAGATTTCCCCTTGTAAGTGGAGTCAATGTATACGGAAGAATCGACTGGCATCACATAGCCGTTTGGTTCTCGCTGGGAATCATCTGCAACGAGTATCTCACCGATACTTAGGGTGGTCCGGAATGAATCTTGTATCTTCCCATGCTATCAGCAAACCATAAGTATCCCGGAAGAAAGAATAATTCGCAGGACGGATATACTTCGGAAGTCATCACTCAAGGAGTCAGTCGACACGGCATCACTGAGGGATGAGCGGCGCCATACCCTCCCTAAATGCCAATCATTCACGCCGTTGATCAACCGCAGGTGGCCGAACAGTTTAGTGGAGAATTTGCGAGTTCAAATCTCCTTGCATATTCATGAAATGTTCACAACCAGTGATTCCCAGTGGGGAAGTAGTACTGTGCTTCCCGGTTCTTCGGCATTGATCGACTCGACTTACATGACGAGACCTTCATTAGAACGGCAACTTTTTTGTCACCCGGTAGGCATCTTTGGGATGACGCTGTTCCATGTTTAACTCAGGCCAACAACTTTTGGAATTGACTCGAGAGCTCTTACCCTTAGTTTTAGGGTTGCCCAAGCTGGTGCCAAGGGAATCATAATCGAGGGTCGGCATCTTTGTGCATGAAACCGGTTCTTTTGGCCATAAAAGTTCTAAATTCTGAACTAATGTCAAAAAGCACAACCACTTAGTTTATCTTAAAACTGAACTTCTGGCTCCTCAACTTAGTCCAATAGATGATACAGCAGCCTGAAGTTCGAAGTATGAAACAGTAAAGGGTTCTCCGTCGACTCTGCCAACCGCACTGGCCCACACTCCAGGTAGGCCACGGGTCCATAACCAACTTCGAATGTATCACAAAAAATTAGGACCCAGTTACGTTCAGTGAAAAAAACTTTAAACATAGAAATCACTAACCCTAATTTGAGTGTTATTTCCCCAGGACTAGTGAATGTTTCATCCCAGTCATAATTTGACCGGTAAGGTTTTTTTATTGGTTGCTTTGGCCATGACAGCAGCGGGGTAACGCATCCGCGCAGTACGGAATACCTCAGTTGGTCACTGGGTACCCTGTTCAGGCTAGTCTGATCTTGAGGCTATCGGAATCAACCCACCGGTAGAGCCCTAAGGTCTTATGCATGCCTCGGTTAGGTGAGTTCAAGAACACCAAATCAGTTGGTTCACTAATGCATGGATAATCTAGCGGAAGGGCCATCACTACTGCTTATCTGTAGATAAAAATCGTATTGGCTCAGTAATCTTAATAGCTGACAGACTGATCTAAGGGCCCCAGCAAACGGGCCCATCGATACTAAGGAACCGTTAGCGTAGAACTCCTCTTCCAATACTGTAGTCGTTCTCATCAAAAGAATCGCGCTCATCATAAGCCGTTGGTTTGCCCTAACTGGGTGTATACCGATCTTATAGACTGTGTGGTAGTCCCGAAGTTAGCAAACCACCTAAAAGACAGTTGCACCTTCAATATCGGTAGACAACGTAATGTCTCATTGATAAAACCGTAACAATAATCCAATGAATTCATTCGCCGAATAATAGCGGGAGTCCAGCGATCGGTCCCCGTGCTTGGCCGCACAATCAAGCACTCCTCATCTCCATTGGTTTATGTGGATTAGGAACAGGACATGCGAGATAAATCGGCAAGCGTCAGCTGTAGTGGGCCCTTGGCAGTAGGACCCACTGTTGGTTACTTGTCCCGGTGACCTGTTCTGTCACCGAATCTGCATCTGGTGTATTGGTACCTATCACAGTAGATAACGTTTCAGATACGACTCAAGAAATCACGATATCATGAAGAAGGAGCTAATGATGAGGCAACTCTCCAGACGGTGAGGCCGTTTTCATAACGCTTAGTATGTCGAGAGCATAAGCTGTTTCTGCATATTTTGATGCTTTTTATTTACTTGTTCAATGGCCAAATTGAAAGTTATATTTCTTCTCGAGGCTCTGTAGATCGAGCTGACCTCCAATTTTTTCGGAAGGCTCCGGGGATCTGTTTGGTTTGCGACTTGCTTTGACATCAGAATAGGTTCTAACCCACTGTCAGCGAAGGCTTCACACAGTGCTACTAAGGTCAACAAGGTGCATCACTTCAAACCCTAAAAAGCGGGTGGAACTTCAGTGTTATTTGAATTTACATTGGCGATCCATGTAAGAGAGCTTAACGTATCAGTATGTAGTCGTTGGTTCTTTTTTTCATATCCTGCTCCAGTGATATAGGGCTCAGTATTGGTCTGTTTCGTTAAAGCTAATCCAGTCTTCCAAAAGCATGTTCTTGTAACTGAGACCTGGATTGTATTTCGGCACATGCAGGGAGTGCTGGGCTATACATGTAGGGCGGTTTAACGCCTTAGATCTTGAAGGCGATAGCTTTGATACTCGAGCGCCACTGACTGCACGATCGGGCCGTTTCCGCCAGTGTCATTAGCCACTGGTGATTTGAGTCCCAGGGCCCCCATTCAGGGAGGCGGCAGTTTGCTCACCCACTAAGTTTACTGGTTAGTGTTTTCGTACTTTGTTGCCAGGTCACAATAGCGTTGACGTGAGAATAGGATGGTTTCGTACGTTGACTAAACTGTTCCACACTTCCGCCGTCTTACTAGCTGCCTACTTGTGAGAAATTGTATCTACCGAAAGACTCTTCAAGAATCAGTGGGCGGAAGAACGACTCCTGTTATTCATGAAAGCTTTTGTCGTTTTATACGTCTAGGAAGCCGAATGACGACCCAGTTCATGTCCGTCAAATAACTGAACACAGCTGCACAGCTTTTTTTGTATGGGTAATCCCACAACTATCCATATTCCCTGCCAGTGTCTTTCCAAGACACCAGTATCCTTCACAAGTATATTGCCTCCGATCAGTGCACTCCCAATGAGAGTTTTGGCTTTATCATGAAGCCCCTTGAACTAGCTCTGTAGGATGTCGATGACCCTCTTGGAGCCATAATCCTCTGATAACATGTCGAAAGTCTGGGTGACTGCCGTGGGCCCCACCGGAGCAATCCACCGGCCACTGAATGTCCTCATCGGCTCTGTCAGCAGTAGGTCTTCTACGAAATTCCAAGGCTTCCGCGGTGTCCCTCTAGAATTTCATCATTCTGCGTGATTAGACGGATCTTAGAATCAATACAGAATCGTCATTCCAAGCATCAGTCCTCTATCCTGTGAAATTATCGTTTATTTATAGTTTGTCTTCCGATGAATAGTCCTTGCATGTTTCTGAATGCAACTCAGTGAAAACCTTTCGTTATCGTTTTACGTTCTTACTTGCTTATGGTTTCCGTAAACTGTTCGCCTAAAATTTCTCGCGTAAACTTAGCCTGTAGATGCGTAGCAGAAAGCATACCAGGCTTAGCGCTACTAACCTTGATGGGCTTTGGTTAGTCGTGCCAAGGAGAGACATAGAAAGGACTTGGGAAGTAGGATCGTCCTCAAAGGAGATTGTTTCCTTAGCATTCTTCGATTCACTTCTGGGTCGGTTTCAGACGCTTCTCACGTGCCGGTATAATGTTGACTTTCTGATTGCTTTGCAATTCGCTCCGTAAAATTTAAAGCGAAGTTCAGTGAACGTTTATTCATGCATTCATGAGACGTGCGGCGTAAATATATTTTTCTTCAGCGTCGAAGGATGGTATCCTCGTTCGGGAATTCCACAGAACCCTGGATGTGTGGTCTCCTTTAAAAGACACCTGTTCGTCTGAATCGGAGCTGCCACCCATATACTCGGAATGCTTTTGAATTTTTCTGTTTATATCCACCACAGCATTCATTCAGACTCCGTATGGAAATGAGGTTAGTTTGCTCCAGGTGTTTGAAATTAAATGCGGTGGACTACAGCGTTTTATTTGCCAACATTCGCCACAACTTCAACACTTTTCCTTCTCATGTATTAAGTCTTCACACCAACGTTTCATAAATTTCAAAACCCCTGACATCACTTTTCGCTTCCGCATTCTCGCTTGTTTTTTCCTCCTTCAAGACAAACCACGAACGACTATGCAATGCCAAATCTCCGTCAAGTTTCACGCGTCCGCACTCCCCATCCAAAAAAAGTCGGGCGACACGAGTCATCTGTCACGTCTGTGGTCACGCTTTCTGTGCGCGGTGTCATCTAGCATGGAATAATGCTGAGCATTGCCAGTGTGAAAGTTATTCACATCAGGAACGTAATTATTTCCATTTGCGGAAGTCGGCACACAGCAAAAATTCCCGCTTGATTGACGTAACCACCGAAGGGAACTCTGTGCAGCAGCAGCAGAACATGCCAAACGGAACTGCCAATTCATCGCTTTCTAGGAAGTCTGACCATCCACGACGAGTCCGTCTACGAATACCCGCCTACAGACATCGAAATCTGCACAAGACTCATAGTCGAGTCGATTCAAAGCCCGATTCCAAAAAGGATTCCTCTGCTGACCCGGCAGGCGTAGATTTTGCCGTTGGTTTCCCACCCTATCCTGAAGATGCATCCTTGAAACGCTGCCCAACTTGTTTCGTCCCAATCGAGAGAGTTGATGGATGTGCTCAAATGCGGTGTCGTTCATGTAAACATACGTTCTGTTGGTACTGTCTGTCCTCGCTGGATGTGAGTCCCTTATCATTTAACCCAATTGACAGATTACTCGATTTTGCAACGAATGGTCTCATTTTCTCTGGATAAGTCATTGTCGAAAAAGGCTGATTTGTTACAGTTCGAACGATCTTCCACTAGCTTAGGGTGCATTTTTCACACCAAATATCTCGTCTTCCAGGCGTCTTTATCGGTCGATATCCGAATGCACAATCAATTTAGTGTGGTTTACACGACTTGTACCATGCTTTACGATCCTCAACTATCTTTGCCAAGGAAACCTGTGGAGACTTTGCTAACAAGAATCCGTGGCAGCTTTCTAGTAGAAAACCTCATGATCAGCCTTTTCCGTTTTTGATCACTACATTGTGCGTTCTCATTTATTGATCCAACTATATTCCGTTCCCCTTTTTGCCATCGCTGTGAGGAGCGTTTCTGTTAATCTCAAATTCCGGGCGACCGCTGTTCAGTTGCCTATTTATTCATTTCCATAAACATTGGGTTTCCACCCACCAGCGACGGCTGTTGTTAAATGCAGAGAAGCCATCATTCTGGGCTTTAGCCTATATTGATGATGGTGCTTCACGTGTGAGATTATGGTTGTACAACTTGAAAGGCGTGCGGGCTATAAGTCAATCAGGTCACATTTTTTTGAAGACAGCAATGTTCACAAGAGTTTTAAATGCCTGTTTTACAGCGGTGATCGTTGTGACGCCTTGGTCCCATATTCTTGTGAAGGCGACTCCCCATGAGAAGCTCTCGTGAGTACTGTCCACTCGTTGAGATTGACTCTTCCCTCCTTTAGTATATCTTCTAGTGACTGCGGCAGATGCCTATGTACTTGTGGCTATCCTAAACGAGATTCCTCCACTTCAGATCCAGTGGCAAAACTTTTATTTCCTATTCTTACAAAGCGAACTATCTCCATGGTCAAGCATTGCTTCATTTGATGCGTATTTCATTTTTAGACTGTTGAAATGTAGGGTTATATCACATTCAATTATATATGTTCATACAGAGCCTTTACTACAATGTAAGCACACTAACGGTCGTATATGCATTGGACTATCTGGAATTACTACTGATACTGTGGACACCATGTATTGATGTGCCTCACTTGTCATTACCTGAATATCACTAGGGCACCCTATACTCACACCTGCTGATTCGTCTAATGTACATGGACTCCGAAGGTTGCGGTTGGAACGCTATAGTGCCTGTGGCGAGAACGTCGGCTAAATTTCACCCTATATAGTCATTTAACCATTATGGGTCCGCGAATTGCCTACCATTGCAAGTTTGCCGGCACTCCCAATGATGTGGCCAGGCACGCCTATAAATAAAACGATTTCGGAAAGGGAGTGAGTTGAATTTTACATTCTCTGTACGGCATCCGGTAGCAGTGCTTCCCAGATTTGGGTGCCCAAGCAGTAAATCTTGCCCAACAGAGACGTGGACTACAAAAATAGCAGTAACCCGTGTTAAGTTATCCATCGCTTGCCATCAGATGACTCGCCTCTCGTGTAAGTTAGGTGAAGGGAATTATACCACTTTCAACGCCTTCCATCGTCTCCGTTTACGACCTCAGTACATTCCCGTACTAATTATTTTTCCATAGGTCCTAGCTGCTGTATGTAAAATCCTTGACCATTGGCTGATTCGTCCCTGGTTTCTTTTGCGTACCGACCAATGGCCTGTTTTAGTCGCGTTGTACTAGTAAACATCATAATCGTTCGGTTATAACACCCTTCCGATACTTGTCTGCCACATTACCTGAAAGAAGTACGAGGGCTGAAATACTACCAGGTTACCCAGGCCTAGATAGGAGCAGACGAAATGCCGGTTTCGGGTTCCAACCACAGGCCTTGCTGTCAAGAAGCTCGCGCTTTAACCACTGAAATAATTCAGGCTTACGAAATATTTCTCCTCCTATCTGTTGCGACGTATTTCTGGTCGGCGAAGTCCTAAGTGCACATCTGTATGTTTCTCCCAAGGTCAAAATGCACTTTTGACTTGGTGTTTGCTGCACCCTTGTGCTGGTCATCTACTGCTCATCAGTTGTGCTGGGTGCGAACACAATTATTACCGTTGTACCGCCTAGCTTACTCCGAATGAGTAGGCACACCTACATCATCCTCACCTTTGGGTCCATTATAAAAGTGCGATTTATGTGATAAAACAACCTGTTTGCATGTACGCTTCTCACTAGAAACCGAAAAACCCATGTTATCGATTTATTTGCGTTCGTATTGCTTCATGAAACGCAGTTTACTCCCCACTGCATTGGACAGTAGTTCACCCTGGAGTAATTTCCGCTATTTCTTACGAAATAATCCGCCAGGGATTCTCCAGAAGGCAAAGACACGAAAAACCATTGAAAACTGGTATGCTACTTGTAAGTAATACGAATATCCGACTCTAAAAAGTATTGCAACTGTAACTTTTTTGATTCAGTGATATTTATCTTTTGCGCTGCCGATGTAATATTATGTTGTTTAGGAATGATGGTGGAGAATATAAAGTTTATTTTAACAGTGCAAAAGTAATACAGATGCTGTCCTATTTCATATTCTGACAGCGATCTGGGACATGTTTGTGTAAAAATCGTGGATAAACACAGATTGCGTTCTTTCTCATCAGCACGGAGCCAAATCATCTTCTTTTTTCAAGTTTTGTTCTTTTGGGGCTCGTAATAAATTTCACCTGTTTCTACCTTTAAACAACTCTTAATTGCTCTTTTCCACACAACTACCATAATAGCGGTGGCAGAAAACAACTTCTTAGGGATTTTTCACTCATCATACTGTGGGTCTGAGCTTGCGATAGACATTCTCAAATGGTTGTGGATATGGAGAGTTTTCCTTCGTACTGAGCATTCATCGAACAATCGTCATCTATTCTAACGGAAGTTGTCTGCAAATAGGAGCTGAATCCGTGTTTTTTAGTCTTCACTGATGCGTTTGTTATCCATTGCCACAATTTGGACTCCATTGCCAATGGCTTTCAGGTCAACTATTTTTGTTTGGTGCCATAATGTCAACGAGAGGTGTAGCCGGTTGTTAAGGTTTCTGTTTTGCAATCCTGCTGGCACGTGCTCTGAAGAGCAATCAAACGCTTAAGACAAACCCGCTATCACGGAAAACCAGCAGACTGAGCGCGTGACTACTTTCTTCTCGCTAAGCTAACCAAACAACATGGTCGCAGAGAAATGTTTTCCTTGTCATGACTACGTCGGAGTTTTCATGGACCTTACAAGTAGCGTTATGTGGAGGATATTATTTTAAATGAGGCCGAAAGCAGTCTTCATGCAGCACGTTCAATTGACTACCTCCTTAACGCCATGTTTATTTGTAAACATTTATGTATCTGCGAAACTGTAGTCCTGGTTCATTTGTTCTCACTTTTATGTTGATTTTAGAATAAATTACGGTTTCCCTAATTAAGCAGTGGTTTGCCATTGATTGATAAGTCAACCCTCGTTAACCCGAAAGCTAGGCTATTTAAAATCGTTTTCAAAGTGTAAAAATGCAACTACTGAACGAAACTCCCTTACCATTGGCGGCAACTCAAGCACCAGGCCATTTACTTTCGAGGCACCTACTTTGTCGAATGCCACAAGGCTTCATGACCGCGGCAGACTGTATGTGTTTTTTTATATATTCTGTTAAATTCCTTGTCAGGTTTACTTAGTGTCTTGGCCACCAAAGTTTTCTGAATCGGGGTCGTACAGAACATATGTTTGTCTGGTTTGTTGTAACCAGGGTTTCGCACTCGGTTAGTCTTACTTGACTGCTATAACAGCACTGAGAAGTGAATAAACCGTTGTTGTGCTGTGCCGCGAGAAATAGGGATACTTATCCAATACATAGTTGCAATGGCTAATATAGGTGCACGTGTTTAAAGCAGGCCCTGAATGACACGCATATTGGACAGACGCGTGACTGGTATTGATTTGTGAAGGCCATCTTGATTGCCGGTCGGACGCAGGGCTTATCAGCAGCGTACAACCAGCACAAATTAGTCTGGACAACTTTCGCTTGTGTCAAGAGTACTGTGGTAAACCTGAAACACGAAGGTGGAGTGGGTGGTTCCCGGGCCTCCAAAGTCGCAGAACCACCACGGGACATTCCGTCAAGCGCTCTAAGCCAACAAAGGATCTGAAGCAGGCCATTGGAAGGAATGGTGAAAATTACAGCGCTCACTCAAAAAGCGCGCGCTCCAGACCAGCTTGAATCTCGCTCTTTTTAGAAGCACACTCCCCTGAAGGATGGGTCAAGATTTTAACCCTATGGTCACGAACCTTCATCCAATACGAACGGAAGAAAAATATGTAGCTTTATTAATTCGTCAAATTTTAAAATGAAATAATTGTAGTTAAGTTGAGAATTTATTTCAATCTTGTTTTCTTCTTGCAAGCCAATTCACACCAACAGCCGAGAAGTACTGTTCATTTGTATCACCCTTATCAGCGATTATCAGCAGTGAGCATCTTGTGAGATTCCAGAGAGTTTCGACGACAAACTGTTAACTGGAATAGCCAATGGGTTGCATGAACCTCTTATCTGGATAGCCACTCGAGGAGTTAGTCATTGTTGCCTTACAGCACCACAGCTTAGGAATTAGGGGCAGGCATAGGCACACAGGATTAACGTTGACTAACGGTCGTCGCCAAAGGCCAGCTGCCCCTGATAACCGGACATCACGTAAATTGGACGGATCTGTCAATTGCGGGCTACGGACCAAACGAAAGCATGCCCTAATTGGTCAGAACGTCAGCCAATCTGGATCGAGCATCTTTGACTCAACGCTTGTTCTTCCCTCACAGAGATCCTTGCACGACCTTGTGGAACATTTTGTGATGTCGATGATGGCGTGATGGCCTAAGTAACCACTTAGGCCAGTTCCTTGTTAAACAACTGTTATCAGTATCTCAAGGTTACCAAAAGGGATACTCAAGATTTTGTCACTTATGCGGGTATAGTCAACAGAGAATGCGATCGCTTTCAGCTCAGCCCGAGGATTAATCCAAGTGTCAGCCTCGGGGCTGTTCATCAATCGCCAAATGATGCAAATGTTCGGACCTGGTTACTGAATCGAATTGAACAGGATCCAGAGTTGACGCTTCAGAAACTTACCACAGAATGTCAGTGTCTTATCAATGGTTGGACATTCCAAGTTATCTCAGCCTGATGTGGTGTGCAAATTAACTTCCAAAAAGCAATCAAATTCTAAATGAACTCTAAAGTAACTACTCACACCCTGTTGGTTTTGTGAAGGAGGGCATTATTCACGCCATTGTTCCTACCGGAACCACAGGTGCAGTCGAAAGGGTCTCAAAGAAGAATGTTGCAGAGAAAACTTCAGGAGCCCGCGTAAACACCGACCCGACAAAAGGACACAGGCAGGGGACATGACCGCTACATTCAGGATGAAACCACTAAGTCGATGTTAATTTGTCACAGCATGTATCCAACATGATACAGGTTCGGACCTCACTTTGATTTCAAACAAACGTCCTCCTATGAAATACCTAAACTCTGATCATATTCGGTCGTGCTTCTGTGGCGTGCCCGAACTCTCATAGGCTCTTGCTGAATTGATTGAATGATTGACTGTCCTGGATGCTTTCTGGCTTCCTTATTAAGATTTTGGTCGGGTTTCAGGTGTCTCAGTAAGTCCCAGGCGTTCTGGAGTTACTTTCAGGAATCTGACCTTCTTGATGCTTTTGAGCTATTTCACCTTACTCAGCATCTGCCGCAGCACTTCTGATTCATGCATAGTGAATGCACATTGTATTCAAATCAAGTGGATGTGTTCAGTGGTCACTCATGTCCGCTCATCTTTCAGTCGATCCATAAGTCACGCCTACCGTGCTAACGTGATCTAGTTCCACAACCGTGTATAAACAACCAAATTTTATGGAAATGCGTAGGGTTTTGGACTGTTCAGAACCATTCTGCAGAGGAGGTCGTTTTCATGTGCACGATTCGAGTACCGTGAGCTACTTTCAGCCACATAGCTAACGCAATAAACACAAGACGATTTCTTTCGTCAACCACTGGTTCACTATAGCTGTGTAGAAAACAGTTGCCTGTTTGTGAATCCATATTCAATACTTTAGTCTTAAGATGGGTGAAAAGGTGGTCTATACCCATATCAGCCTCACTAAACTGTTGCTATATGAAAGAGTTTTCAAGTCAATTACAAACTAAGTTCTTAGCATAACTTCCTTGATCCAGTCATATCTGGTAGTCTGTACCGGAATTCAGTGAAGGTCCGATGAAATCACATAACACACCTTTTAATGAAAAATCTTTTCGACGCACAATTGCGGTGCTTCTCCTAGAAATCGGCCACCCAATTTACAGCGGATTAACCGAAGAGTCAAGAACATGCGTGTACATCCCCACGCTATGTCCGATGCCCAAACGATGTTTGTGAATTATTGCGCTATCCCCACTTCCGTTTTTATGGTCTGTAGATTGCCGCAATACTCTTTACATCTTCTGACCATTGCGTTGTCTTTTCTCTTCCACTACAGCGAGATGTCCTTCTTCGTCACTACGACGTTGGTGCTTGCAAGGGCAAGCTGGGCCATTCACGAGCGTCTATTCTGGGGCATCGAATTTATGTAAGCCAAGTGCTCTCAAAATTACGCTTAGAAAAATAAATTCCGGTTTTAAACGCTGCTAAACTAGGCAGCTTGGAGGATTATTTTCTTTTCAATATGATGACTTTAGCCTTGCTGAGAAAGCGTCGATCGACAATTTTTATTTTACTCAACACCAGGTGGGGCGAGATGGACCAGGTGGTTAGAGCGCGAATTTACTGACCTGAAGGTCCGTGGTTCTAACCCAACCTCTGCCTCTCGAATTCCACTGTCTAAGCTTGGGCAACCTGGTAATATCTCAGCTTTCGTACCTCCTTCGTGTGACATGGCAGCTAGGCACCGAAAGGGTGCTACAGCTGAATGACTCAACACCAGGTCAAGCATTCTAGGCAGACCAAGTTGCAGACAAATGGAGAGATTTATTTTGAGATGGCACCACTTACAAAATTACTGTAAACGAGCGATTCAGCTGAGTCTCTTGTTAACACATAGCTCCGTGTAGCGTGTAGCTCCATGGGCGGTTACAAAACCGTTTGAGCCCAGAGAATCAGCTGATTGATACAAATGGCTACAACAGAATAATGTCGATTTGAATAGACTGATGATCTATTCTTTCAATAGCAAGGAAAAGGTCTTGTTTTCTACTTCCGATAGACTTTCTTCTTTTGGGTGACGGCCGTGCCAGTTTTTGGCGCTTACCTCGGCAGGCGCTTCTTTGACATATAGACTTATGGATTAAAAACAACTGGTGTCCTTTTCAGCTCTGTATGGAACTCTGATATACGTCCTTAGTGCTTTTGTGCTGTCCCAAATAGCCTAGTTATAAACCCCATTCTGAATCAAGTAACAGCTGCAGACATACTATTCAAAAAGATGGGAGCGGAGCAGCGTTGGTTCGACCAACGCTGCGCTTGTAGATATCCACACACTTGCGGATGATCCCAATCATTTTTTCCAGACGCACAGCGGCTACCGTTACGTGGTACTCCGGTTTGGGTACTGAAGTAATTCAACTGGCTATGATAGCTAGAACTCTGTTCCTCCATGTTATCAAGGCCATAGGAAGCAGGAAACAATAACAGTTCATCCCTATGCCACAAGGAGTCGCAACACTAGGCGATCTGGAGGCAAAGCGGCGATGTACTCTGCAACATCACTATAAAAATTTTCCTCCAGACAACCGGGAGTTGCGCTGGTACATTCCCATGGAGAAGGGCTGGTTGTAATGGGCTGGGTCCCAGAAATTCACACTCCCAACACCGGACCATGGCCACTGGGCTAGTCGTTCGATACGGCCAGAAAACGACCAAGGCTTACCAAAAGACTGACGCTACTCCAAGTGCGTCTGTTGTGCACAACGGCGTCGGGATTCGGTGTTCGGTGCCTTGCTTGTTGATCGTCGGTTTAGAGTGACCCACAACCAAGTGTGTTATTGTTGAACCTTTGAATCTTGGCGGGGTCCCCAAGAACACTGTGGCACCCATCACGTTTGCTTTAAGATTGCCGAGTCAAAGGTTACGGATATGATCACGGAATAAAACTAGATTCTTCTATTGCTTTGTTGGGGATAATTACGGCACCCCAAACAAACCCCAAAACTTGGGCAACGGGAACTATCGTTTGTTCTCGCAGCGCTGGTCGAACAAACAATTTCGGTTTCTTTTCGTCTTTTCAAAGTGTTTCTCCTCACGCACCTCATATTTCATGTAAGTGTCTCCTTTCTATCCCTAGTCCGCAAAACATATATAAGCTTTGTTTATAACAAACTATGCGTTCCCAATAACAGTATCGTAAGCATGCATCTTTTGTCACAATGGTCAGCAGCTTTCGATTCAAAAGAACAAATCTTGTTAGCTGGTCGCAAGCTATCGCTCAGTCGGAAATTCCTCTCGGCAGTTTCGCCTCCCATAATTTTCGTATAATTACTCAGGCAGCCACAGCAGTGAAAACCCAGCGTATTCGTGCACAAAACGCCGGTATTTTTCAAAGGTCTCTTCAAAAGCTGCACCTCTAGGAATCAACAGTCACCTTCGTTTCGCATGGAACCTATAGGTAACAGCTGTACTGCACGATGGAAGTTAATCTTGGTAGCTTGTTTGCACACGGAAGCCTTTTCTATTCAGCACTCATGCAGTTCTCACGGGCGGTGACTGCGTATCCGTCAACGGTATCAGCATGATGCATTGAACCTCCATGCTTGCTCTGAGAATACCCAAACAACAAAACGGGCCACGTCCTCTCACTTGTCGATATTTTGCCAGGAAGCTTGTAAAAGCCTTCCCACGCAATCACGTGGGACTGTACAAGTGGGCTGCGACCACCGAGGCCTAACTACCGTTGTGTTGTTAGACCCTCAGCCGTATGACTTTCGAAAGCAGTGTTGTAACCTGACAAATGTCCTGCCATCGGTTTCGACCGTGATGGTCCAGTGCTGAATGCAGTTCCGGGTACACTGTTCACGGTTGCTAGCTTCGTTCATCCCCATGGTGCTAAGTGATGTTGATGTTAAATCTGAGCACAGTTGGTCGCAGTCGGGTGACTTTTTTCACGTACCAATGCAGAGGCTAGACAACGGGTTATATGAAAACAAACTCAGGCTGTATCGCGAAATTGATTCATGCGATGACTTGGAGGATACTTTCGTTCAGCTGCTGAATTCGACCAAGAGTGCTGAGAAAGAATCCAGCGACAGGTATCCAACATCACTTAAACGTACGCATCGGCATTCGTTCTTCTGGTGTGCTTATCCAAGCCACCGATAAGAATTCGCTGGTGCGTCACGCACGTGCAGTGGTTATCGTGTGATCGATTGTCTGAAGGCCGGGCACAGCACGTGAATCGACGTGCCAAGTCAAGTGAATTATTGTTACATTCTTTGCGTGGAATTCTAAAATAAATTCAGAATATACCATATACCACGTGTGTTGTGTCCAAATCTTGGGTACCCAGACTTTAATGGAGAAAGACCAATCTGTTGGCTTCCACTTGGTATTCGAATATAGGTGAATGGTTGTTTGATTGTACTAGACAAGAATGGATGTTTTGACTTGAGCGGGAATGATCAAGAAATCGGCTTCTTCGGATATCTGTTGCTCTTGTAGAGTTAACTTACTACATGCTGGCAACTGAAGTTTTTGGCGGGAAACACCGCGGAATATTACGTTGTATCTTTTTCTCCATAAAAGTGAATTTGTAGAGTGAAGAATTATTTGTCTGCTGTTCTTTTCCGTGCTCACGTTGGTAATAAACCAAAGGCACTAAACCAATGGGATCTAGATGATTCGAAAATCCTAACTGGTGCGACTTCAAAAGATAGAGGTAGAGGCAGAGACGTCAACCAATCCGTAACACAGAAAAATGTGAGAACTTTACAAGATTAGTACTCTACTCCACAACTTTACTGTTTTTAATGATAAATAAATGTCCCCATAATTTATTTTTCAGAAAGACAAGACAGTGTTTCCGATGAAAATACCGTCAGGACTATTCATACTTGCTTTGTCCACCCGTCACTCCTCACTCATTTCGTGTGGTTTTTACGAATAGTCGCGGTTTTAATCGACTGAACGCCTCGCGTGTAACGAAATGTCGCAGACCCTTCTGAATTGTTAGTATATTTCACACAAACTCTGTCTAAGATCATTGGGAGATGTTCCAAATTCCTTTCGTTATTAGCCTCTACTCTGTTGAGCTTCTATGGTCGTTCAGATAAATTCGACGTTCCCATGATAACGTGACTGTAAGTTAAGACCACCAAATTGATCGTCTCGTATCCAGCTTATTCACGCGCAAGGTTTGGACTACGGAAGCAAACTATACCGGTCATTGCATAGTTCACGTATGTCGAAGCTAAGCGATAGGTGCTCCTGCTTTTCTTTGATGGGTTGGCCTCGATCTACATCTCCATTCTGAATTGAACGAATGTTCAATCTAAGTCATATATGGTACTTTTATCGGGTTCTTTCCGAAATTTCATTGAGTCCACGAAGACGTTGGGATGCGCTTCCCTCGGTATCTCTATCTTGGACTGACTTAACCTTGAGAACTTCAAGATATTAAAACGAAATTCGTCCAAAACACTACCGGATGCCATTCATTTTGTGCTGTTTATGGCCATTTGGTGTCGAATAGGAGGTTGAATGGCTACTGCCCAAAGAAGTGGGTTTCTAAACCACTGAACTGATGTGGCCACCGTAACAAACTCCAGCAACACACTTGAGAGATGAATCCAACATAAAACGAGGTGATGATTGTCCAAAGAGAAACAGACAGGGTGATTTCGAGCAACTCTAATAACCTACCTCCTTGTGGTTGTCAGGTTCACTTCCAATAGTTTAGAAATTCCCATTTCAGTAATGAGTCACATTCCTCTGTCTTTGACCTGAAAGCAAGAACAGTATTAAGGTTAAGCAAACTACCAGTATATGTTCACACCACGGTTCGCTTTCGGCCATTAGCTTGGGCCATACCGTTATTATTTGCTGTAAAGTTGCATGAGTTAACGGTGTACTGCATAGAGCCAATGACATTTCACCGAAAAGTTAAAAGTACCCTAAGCAATGCAGCACCGTTGGGAGGTCACACTAGCAAGTTTTTTTTTAGTATCGAGGGTATGTGTTTAGTATTATATCTAGTGGCTAACTTACTGATAGACTGGCCAACCAGAATGCAAAAGATGTCTGCTTCAAAGTACACTGGCCGGTCCGACAGAGATACGCAAAGATAACAATGGGGCAACCACAGAAGCCAAGCGTTAACCGCCATCGATGATCGACATTTTGATGTTCCGACGAAATGCATTCAGTGAAAGACGGTACAACCGGATTCGACATGACATATCCTTGGCTATCATTTGGTCATACATAGCCCAGGAATATTTGTATATATCCTCACGTATTTCTACACAAGCCTAATTGGCAATATACTATATTTTTGGACCGTTGACTCCTGATTTGTTCTGAATCGTGGAACGTTCCGCAGGCCACAAAGCAATACAACATAGAATCACTCACGCTGTATGCCGTACAGTAACATTCGACTGGTGTAATTGCTTGAAGAAGTCCGCCATTACTCAGGAAGACTAAAATACTTTTCTATAGTTGAGTGTATTAATACAGATAGATTTAAACACCAGCTCCATTCCGAACTTCTCGTCACCGTTTGTTATGGCGTTTAAGTCGACTTTGACATTTTCTCCTTGTCGGAGGCCTGTTGCAGAACTCTCACGGGGACTGTAGACTTGAAATGCTCTATGAATCTGTCATCACTCACCATTGCTCATCCGTTAATTTCAGCACTTTTACCTGCTGATAGTATATGCTACTTGGTTAACTGTAATACTGTTGATTTGTCTTAAATCTATGTGAGTTCTAAATACGTCCTTGCTCCATCACTTTTTATGTTCCAACTTTCCCCTACATTTCCTGACAGGTCATTAGTGTTTTCGCTGGTTTCACTCTGCTGTTCATCATCACCGCTCCATTCGTCATCATGTCACTTCCGTGTATTTTGTGTTCCAAATGCGAGTTAGCCTATCGTCAGCGCCGACTCCGTAAGCGTCACACCGCTGGAGTGGTTCTCTCAACGGATAAAGGTTCACAGGAATCTCAAGACCATGTGACTGAATCGTCAAGCTCTTCATCTTTTTCGCTTTCCAGAGAACATAACCTTGCAGAGTCAGACAACCATAAACCCGGTTGTACAATCGTTGTTCCGCAAACTGCGGATATCCACTGGTGTGTGGATGCTACCCCTGACGTCTCAAGTGACTCTGAGCCTGTCCCGTCAGAACGAAGCATTGCCCGAATCCCCGCATCCAATACGGGCCACTCTGTCATTTTCAGTTAAGCATTTATTATCCTGTCCTCATCAGGTTTCCTTGTATTTTCTTAGTAGCGCCACAGTTCTTTCGCCAACTGACACACTGCTCCAACGTACAGTGTGCAACGCGACCCTGCTTATCTCCACCCCTGTGTTCTTGCATTTATTTTGAGCTACTCCCAAACGCATGAGTAGGCGTTTTGTAGGACAATATGTTTTCCCACAGAGCCCGGAAACAGTCCCGTGAAGGGATATGTTTACCTCAGTCGCATGCGGCTTGTACTGAAGCGAATGGGTGATGTTTTCAGGTCAAAAATCTCCTCAGTTCTTCCTGATTTCATTCACAGTTTTTTATTTCAAAAATGACCTTATCACTGTGTTTAAATTATTTCAACAATCATATTGCCTCTTTAACTGGAGCGTCCCCACTCGTATAAAGGTCTCAACTCTTATTCATGGCTTTCATGCTATGTCGGTCTTTCCACTTGTTCTTTTAATCTCGTTCGTTTTTCTATTGCCCAACACATTTTCCCTATCTTTCTACAAATACAATTATCTATTCAAGGTGTAGCGAACTCAAAGCGATGGAATTTAGCATATCTATAAGGTCCTTCAGGTAACCTTCCTCATCACGCAACGTTTTGCTTTTGACACGAAAGTTTTTTAGGTCAAATAAATAGGTGAGGAAGTTGGCGGATGGAGGACCAGTTGGCAAGTCTCCTTTCGGCTGGCGCACTAGTTAGGCTGAAAGGTCTCGTCGGTTGGCGCGGGTGCCGAAGTGTTATGGTAGGCAGGTTGGAGGATTTGAAACAATTTCGATCGAGTTCGGGTCCTTAATTTTCGTTTCGGGGCACTCTACCTGATGACTCCTCTTAGAAGTCACTCGTAAACTGCGTTGGTTTGTGTGACCTCGTAAGTGACACGACAGTTTGTTTAGGGTGTGACCTACCTAAACCGACTTTTAGTCGACCGAAGACAAGTAGTTCGCCGGGAGTTTGAAGATGGGGAAGAGTGGGAGGAAATTCCGTTGGTGTGAGACGTAGACAGTCGATTATTTGATGGGCGTTCGGAAGAGTGGAGCTGAGCTCCCAGGAAGCTACAGGGTTCGGAACGGTGGATAGTTAATCAGACTAAAGAAATCACATATCATATGTGAGGTAATGCACCGAGTGGATGTAAAGGGATTGCGAATGATCTAGGTTTTGGGAGCTATAGGGTTAGGGTTTGATGTCAGACTGATCGTTTGTACGGGTGAAACAAACTTTGAAATGATTTGCAGTTGAATATGGTTGAGGTTATTTAGAGGCACACAAGCATATGCCTCAACAGCAAGCAGTACGGGAAAGGGCCTGCAACGTATTGATAAGCCAATTACTATGGCTGTAAGCCTGGTGAACAGATGCACCAGTACCAATAGTGCACTAGCGAGATGGGTAGCCCAAGCTTGGAACCCTGTCTGCCGTGAAGGTATCCACCTGGACTGCAGAAACAGAAGATTTACCCTAACTTGAATGCCTATCATCAAAGCAAGCAAGCCCATGCCCACACAGTAGCTCAATGGACCAATAAGAAACAGTGAAGCGTGAACCAGGCTATCGTACCGACAATTCATCTATTTACCACATCTACTAGCGTTCGTCGACGGTGCCTGCATGAGCCTCTTTCGTTTGTTCTCAGACTGATGTGTTCTATCTCCAGAATTGCGCCGAAAGCAAACCCACAGCTACCTTACCAATCCCGGTTAGCGTAGTGGATTTAAACAAAGATCTCTTAGCGCATATCGTCGATGGATTATCGGGACATACAAGCTCATGACTGATGTATTTTTTGTAAGGCTAAACTCCACACACTATACGTCATTAGGTAGACACACCGGTGAATGCCTCAGTTACAGGGTCAGCGAATATCGGAGGTATTTACCCTGGTAAAAGTGGGAACCTGTGTGCTTGCTGTGAAGAAAGCAATTGAGTACAACAAAATGGTTGTCAGCCGAGTTCAGAAATTGTGGAGACCCGTCACGAAAAAACAACGCTGACCAGTGGATGAAACGTCACGTTTACTGATATAAATTCTCAGCAGCCGTTCCTGAATAGCGACGAATATCTCATTTTATCTGGCTGCCTGAAATTGGCCACATGAAAAGCTAGTGCTATGGCAGTTTAGCGAATTCTTTGTAAACATACGGTTGAATTTTTGATATCTCAGGTCTTGGGAGTACAGCGCATAGAAATGGGTTGTAATATCCGAGAAGGGTAGTCATGAAAATATCAACTGTGGTGACAACACGCCGGAAGACGGCTAGTAAATATGAGCTTTCAGAATTAAAACAGCTCTCTCCTCAAAGTTTAGCGGCTGTCTTCACAAACTATCAGTGATTCTGTATCTTCCTAGGAGGTGAATTTCAAATGCACGTAGCCTGAATAGAAGGACGCAAGTGAAGATGGACAAGAACCTCCAACTCTTGCTTACCTCCAGCTTGTAATGATTTACACCAATGTTCTTAGGTGCCTGGATGATAGGAAACTCTACCCACTGTGGAAGTTGCCCAAGTATCTAACTAGCGGCACAGAAGCGTACCGGGTTTCATCCCATCGTGTTCGTGATTTCCGGATTACGGTGTTGGCCGCCTTCGAAACTTAACTCCCAAAGCGGTATTCCGCTACTCTTTCCTACAAAGCATTGTGTCCGTCGGCTAAGCGTACTTTTTCTCGTGCGATTGTTTTGTGTGTGCGTGTTTTCACCGTGGTTCGCGTTGGTTAGCTTTCCCACACCAGCCGTCGGAAGCATCCCTATTAGTCGTCGTGTTGTGTTGTTGGAACCCCTGCAACCTGTTCATACACCCGCCCCAACCGGGTCAGTCTTATTTCTGTCTACTGTTGACATTGGGCAGCCCGAAACAGTCAGCAAAACTATAGGACACACAGCAGCAGCTCAATCGGGTACTGATCCAGAGACCATACTTGCGTCATCTATTTACTTAAATAGCCATCAGCTTTTAAGGAAAAATGAATCGGCTACTCGAATTCGTATCTAAGTTAAGGGTTCTTCCAACGCGGTGCCTCCGATAACCATAACTCAGCCGAACTTTAAAATCTGGCAAAAACTGCCCAAACGTGAGGCAAGATGCGGCCCGCTGTGACGACGCAGTCCACGAAGCTCTTAGCCATGAGTGCGACTTATCAGGAGTTTGTTGAGGCTGTGGTTAGCAACTTTCATCCCTGCGTTCAGCACTACGTGGTCACAGGACGCATTTACTCGCACAGACTATTAAGTGAAGCGGATTGCTATTCCAGCCGGTGCAACAAATTTGTCAGTAAGTCTGGCTACTGAAAGACTGGATCAACCCTCGCATTAGGTCGCCGGCCGTGTGTCAATGTTATGCGATGGTCCAACAGCCCTCCATACTCATCACGAAATTTGCTATTGTTGCAGGCGTCTCCTAGAATGCGCCTTTCTGTTGACCGCTACACAATACCAACCGCACCATGTCTGATCGATTTAGGAGAGCGTTTGCACATCACTACATCTAAATTAGCCGTTGCAACTCCATGAGTAATTCGAAAATTTGCACCCCTGTCGTTCAGCAGAAAACCTTAAAGTATGTTGTGCCATAAATGTCCACGCTCTGATACATTCGGTGGGCCAACCGATGCGAAGTATCGTAAAATATTTTTTCACTCAACAGTATGCACAGACTTGGTGAGCTCATCCTACCTTATTCGAAGTACCCTCGTTTGTAGTAATGTCAGTTAAATCAGCACTCGTTATTGGGTCAATGATAGTCGGCCACTGAATCCCAGCTGCTTTCACTTCTGAGGGTCTCTGTGCTACGCAGTTTGGAAACTAGGAAATCCTCCGTACCAAGAATATGTTTCCTCTTCAGGATTGCTCTTGGAGGACAGATGTACCATAAAGTGTCAATGAGAAATCCTCATACAATTCTCTACCGCTGGTCCGACGGATTGCTAGCCGGTCAGTCAGCGACTGCACCCCAGTCCCTCGTCAAACAGGTGTTAATGCGGGCTTATATACTGCCCCCAAACCATTTGCCAAGATAGTTCTCAATGTAGCTCACAAATGAGCCTGCTGACTTGCTGTGTTCACCTTACAAGTCTGAAGAGCCCAGGAGTATCACTGACCAAGAGTACATCTTGGCCTTGCGACAGGGTTAAACGGGGCTAAAAGTACTGCAGTCTACAACAAGCGCGGTGCTTGCATACGATGATGGGCCCATGGTGGCTTAAAAACCAGGATGAGAGTAACCAGCTAATTCAGTGAAGTCCAACGGACGAAGTTATCCCTCGTTATTTTGCCTACTTTGAGTTCGGCACGAACGGACCATTTTAACACTTCCCACAATGTGCTCTATTGTGGGTGTCTGAACGAAATCGTCTTGTGGAGTTCACCGTGCGCCACTTTCACTATCAGCTATTTCTAGTGAAATTCAGGTAAGCCAAGGAATCAAAAGAGTCACTAAATTTGAACTATTAACGGTCGAGACAGAAGTTACCAGCTAAAGTCAGCCTTTTCTATTGTTAAACGCAACTTTCCATCACCGCTCTAACAAGTATAAATGTTTCCTCATGATATTTCCCAATTTTCTGTTTGATTCATGCATATCATGTACTTCTGTTGTAATTCGCTCAACCTGCTACGATTTACACATATTCATAATCTTGAACTCATTTTCTGCTGTGTAGCCAAATCTATAAGGTGAAGAACAAGGTTTATCGTCCACCCGTTTGATGTATGGTCCAAGATGCCAGCGGCAAGGTGTAGGGTTCGTACAAGTGTCAGTAAAATATTCTTACCGGTGTGGTGATGATAAATGTTCACTTGGTTGACCTCGTTTTGTAGTATTGTATAGAATAATGTGGATCAGAAAATTTGGCAAAAACATCAAAGTCATCGGAAATTGCGTTCAGGAAACCAGTAAGATGTTTCGAAATACTACAGCTGCGACTTGCCATTTTCTCATATATCCTAAGGAGTCAGAATGTTTTTCTCCTGGTTTATTGCCTTTTGAGAAGATCCTCACTAAAAATTCCGGAGCATCAAAAGTACTTCTCTTAGGTTTACTGCGTGCTTAGTTTTTTCTCCACCGATCTTGAGGGGAAAATAAATCACCTCATAGAAACGCTTTTCATTTAAGAAGAGGAAGAGCTTAATGGAACGGTGGGGAGTATGAACACTGATTGGTTATCTAGGCAATATACCGGTTTGAAATTAGTTGAACTGTCATGACGTAACTTGTAATGAGGTGGCCATGATTAACCTGGTGGCTCGTGTGAGGTGAAAATTCAAATCATGTATCGATAGAGTAGTACATCTTAATTTTTTCGTGGTCCAATAAACACTAAGTCTTATCCCCTGAATCTTCTGTTAACTCCTATTGCAGCAAAGTCCCCATGGTTATGCGTTGACGTCACGCACAACCATTTTGTTCAGGTTGCCACAACCATTATTGAAAGTTTTCGTTTTGGGATCCTGTCACAACATTTTCCTACTAGAACGGACTACTAAGTTAGCTGAAGATTCTCCGACAGCCCACGATCGGCTTTGCCTTCTTAGAGCTCAGAGTCCAAGTTTCCATCTACCCTATGTTATTGAATATATTAAACTAAATTTTTATATAAGTCTCCTCCAGTTAACACCGAAGTAATTTGCAATTGAGTGTATTTCACCAGCTATATAAAATAGTGTTCAAATAGTAAACAATAAGGATGACGAGAATCAAGGGAAAGCGCGCACCTGACAAGCCCCAAACGAGGCGAAACTGGCCGCGGTCTGTCGAAGAGCTCTTAGCCACCTTAGTAGTAGTGCTTTTACTCAAGTGACCATGATACGAATTTCGTGCGCAGTACACCCAGTTGATAAACAACATGAACGAGAGCTCAGTTGCGACTTCCATTAAAACCAAGTTAATTTGCAACGGAGTGTAAAGTTCTACTTATTTACAAACTGATGTCTAAGTGTAAAGTAAAATTGGTGGGATCTAAGGATCTAGGTGTTCATGGTAGGCAAAACCGGCAGCTGAACGCCGAAAGTTTCATCGGCCTTAGTGTGGGCTATATCCACTAGAGCCATACCTCTGTTTTCAGGTCCTTACTTACAAGGCTTGACTTAATGGTTGGTTGTGAGCTAAACTCAACTAATGTCCAAAACATTTCTATGCGTGAACGCACGTTGAGTGTCTTAATAGTGATAGTTAAGCTCGAAAACATACGGTTTAGGATACGGTTAGGTGCTCTCTGCGGCGTGTGGATTTTCAATTGACTGATTCATTTCTGGGCGACATCGAGGTTAACCCTAAGGTCGACAACACATATCTTCACCGTGATGTTTTGTAAAAACGTTTATGGTAGAGTTTATCTAGCTAGAGCTGTTTTCCACTTCTCCCATTACCCAGACTTTTGCTGAAAGCTTTTTGAAATGAAGAACATTTGTTGAAATGTTCATTTATTGTAAGAGATTCTGGAGGTCTCAGCACCCTTGATTGACCATCATCACGTGATTTACAACCAGTCGATTACCCACTCTATCTTCTCATTTGAATCATTCATCATCTTGACTGGACTGTTGGCAGCTAAAACTTACCTAGAATGACACCGGAACAAAAGCTGATTATTCCAGAGACCAGTCTGATAAAATACAAAGCTCCCGTACGTGTGACAGACAGGCTTGCTGGTCCACATAATCCACAAGCTAATCAAAAAGAAGGTAGTAAAACGACAGTCAACCGTGTGAGAGCTCAGTCATCGGGGGCCGAGAAAAAGGTTCCTACTTCCTTAGGTCCGACTGCTGGCTTTTTGGATCCTCAAGGCATTCGAACGGTGGAATCTACAGAGGGAATACTACGTAACATCATGCCGCCAAGACGCTACCAAATTGGTGAAAGCCTGTACATTCAAGAAGTTTCTTCATGTCCCGCTTCCCGTATGGATGTTATTCAGCTGACCCAAATGTTGGATCAACAGCTAGATACCCGCGGAGCGAAAATGACCGGAATTTGTCCAGTTCGACGTGAACTGTTTTCACAAGTACGTTCTTAGGGTGAATGCTGACGGCCTGATGCAGGGAGTCTCAGGTGACATTCGTAGTGAGAAGATAAAGATGCAGATGAAGAAATAATAACTACAGGAATAACCAAGCTATTGTGGAAGTTACTCAATAACTAGAACAAGCCAATCATATAGTTTGCCTCGTGTACCCTAAGCTGCTGTCGGCGTGAGGCACTTGACTCTAACCAAGTCGACACGTAATAGCTTGCAATTGGCTTGTGCTTACTATAATCTACAGATAATCAGTTATCCAGCTGGACCATTTTATCAATTATAAGTGGTATCACCAAGTTGAGAAGTGTCGAAGAATTTCAGGTTATTTTGCTTACAGCTTCAACAATCAGTCCAATGACTTTTAAGTAATTTGTTTCCACATTGTTTCAGACTTCTATCAGGTTTCCACATCAGTTATTGGACTAGCTGAATTCCGTTTCCATATCTATCTACAAAGCTGTCTGTCTTCATATTCAACATACCAGAGTTTGGAGTGTGTCCTAAGACCACTAAAACAAAAGACCTTACAGAAAAGGTCAGTCCACCAGCTGTCACACGATGAAGTTGAGTTGTTTGTGATTGTCTTCGTATAAAGAAAATCTCACCTTGGAAATTTAGTTAGAAGTAAATGCTTCCATATGAGTTTAACCCACAACTAGTAACCTTCAAGACCAAGGAGCAGAAACGAAACTGGGCACAAGTCAAGTTCATTTGCAGTTTTACACCTATGGCTGTATATGTACAATCATTCTACAGACGTCTCTATTCCGGTAAAACAGTACAGGCACAATTTTACTGCACTAATCACCAATCTTATGTCGCCCTAGATACTTCAATTTCACTGACTGTTTTTCCTAGTCTTCCGTAGACGAATCGCACCAACTGCATGAATGTTATATCATCAAGTTATTTAACTTAAGCTAGTTACCATCAGATGTGGACTAGCGATCACGGGTTACACTGAGGCTTCTCCTGGTTCGTTGTCGAGAGGCAGTTTATGTGGGCTTACCCTGAGCCCTGGATCCTACATTCAAATTCTGGAATAAGACATGATAAGAAGCCGGCTCGCTTTCCTGCTATGAAAAACACAAATATCCAGCCCGTATCTCCCGCGTCTTTGCAACTTTTGTATAAGGCTAGGCCGCTATAAATGCTGAGTATGCAATCACGTTTTCACTAGTGCATAACAGAATAATGGACAAAGGATGAGGTAGGGACAATTTATCGAGACTCAGCCGCTTCATTTGTTGAGCGAGAAGTAAACAGTTTCAACAGTCAACACTTTCACTAAACGTGTAGGTTCCAGTCCTCGTTAACATTCAGCACCACCAGGTTTGAACCCGAATTACGGCAGCAGAGCGTTAGTACTGAACACTGGTGTTGTAATGTCGACGGTGATGATTAACCACACAATGACACGAACTCTTGCTCATCCAGTGCGGTTATGTGGAATGGTTCCGTGACACGTACTAATTCAACGGATTCGACAAAAGAAGTTACAAAGAGATTGAGAAAGTAGCAGAGAGTTGGTAGATGTTGAGCTGAAGGGTTCAGTGCAACTATCATGGACGTGATGAAAATCCTGGTGACGGATTCAAACACTCAGTTACCGAGTAGTTGCTCACCCAATTTAGCTGTCGAAAACGTTCGCTTAAAGTCACCCGTATCCACCTGAACATTCTCTGTGATTCTGAAAAACATTTTGCCTACTCTGTGCCACCAGCGAGTCACTTGGGTGACTTCCACAGTGGGTAGAGTTTCCTATCATCCAGGCACCTAAGAACATTGGTGTAAATCATTACAAGCTGGAGGTAAGCAAGAGTTGGAGGTTCTTGTCCATCTTCACTTGCGTCCTTCTATTCAGGCTACGTGCATTTGAAATTCACCTCCTAGGAAGATACAGAATCACTGATAGTTTGTGAAGACAGCCGCTAAACTTTGAGGAGAGAGCTGTTTTAATTCTGAAAGCTCATATTTACTAGCCGTCTTCCGGCGTGTTGTCACCACAGTTGATATTTTCATGACTACCCTTCTCGGATATTACAACCCATTTCTATGCGCTGTACTCCCAAGACCTGAGATATCAAAAATTCAACCGTATGTTTACAAAGAATTCGCTAAACTGCCATAGCACTAGCTTTTCATGTGGCCAATTTCAGGCAGCCAGATAAAATGAGATATTCGTCGCTATTCAGGAACGGCTGCTGAGAATTTATATCAGTAAACGTGACGTTTCATCCACTGGTCAGCGTTGTTTTTTCGTGACGGGTCTCCACAATTTCTGAACTCGGCTGACAACCATTTTGTTGTACTCAATTGCTTTCTTCACAGCAAGCACACAGGTTCCCACTTTTACCAGGGTAAATACCTCCGATATTCGCTGACCCTGTAACTGAGGCATTCACCGGTGTGTCTACCTAATGACGGTTCTACCCTTCACTCAAGTTTGTATAGTGTGTGGAGTTTAGCCTTACAAAAAATACATCAGTCATGAGCTTGTATGTCCCGATAATCCATCGACGATATGCGCTAAGAGATCTTTGTTTAAATCCACTACGCTAACCGGGATTGGTAAGGTAGCTGTGGGTTTGCTTTCGGCGCAATTCTGGAGATAGAACACATCAGTCTGAGAACAAACGAAAGAGGCTCATGCAGGCACCGTCGACGAACGCTAGTAGATGTGGTAAATAGATGAATTGTCGGTACGATAGCCTGGTTCACGCTTCACTGTTTCTTATTGGTCCATTGAGCTACTGTGTGGGCATGGGCTTGCTTGCTTTGATGATAGGCATTCAAGTTAGGGTAAATCTTCTGTTTCTGCAGTCCAGGTGGATACCTTCACGGCAGACAGGGTTCCAAGCTTGGGCTACCCATCTCGCTAGTGCACTATTGGTACTGGTGCATCTGTTCACCAGGCTTACAGCCATAGTAATTGGCTTATCAATACGTTGCAGGCCCTTTCCCGTACTGCTTGCTGTTGAGGCATATGCTTGTGTGCCTCTAAATAACCTCAACCATATTCAACTGCAAATCATTTCAAAGTTTGTTTCACCCGTACAAACGATCAGTCTGACATCAAACCCTAACCCTATAGCTCCCAAAACCTAGATCATTCGCAATCCCTTTACATCCACTCGGTGCATTACCTCACATATGATATGTGATTTCTTTAGTCTGATTAACTATCCACCGTTCCGAACCCTGTAGCTTCCTGGGAGCTCAGCTCCACTCTTCCGAACGCTCATCAAGTAATTCTATCTCTGTCGTCTCAAGCCAACTGGTGCAGAAATCCTCCCCACTCCTTCTATCTTGAGACGCTCGACGTCCTATCCATCGTAGTTCAGCGGAATGTCAATCACAAGGACTTTTTTGAGCCGTCTCACAATATTCGTTCTGTGAGCAATTAATTCAGGTTCTTCCGTTCTAGCTTTACTATTGCTTTGTCCTACAAGCTCGGAGTATGAAACATGTCTCAATTGATATCGTGATAATAACTGAAAATCATTAGGGTATCCTGTCTTTTCTCCTGCCAGTCATTCGGGGGTCCCAGGTAAGTGTGGGTGAATTAGCTGGTCCTTTACCGTGTGGGACTTATCTGTTAACCTGAACTTTTCAACAAAATCACGACAATTGTGAGTGAACACAGTTAGCGGCCAGGTGTGTAATGGCGAGTCACACTGTCCGCGAACTCATTCACTTCCAATGCTTTATCGGTTCCTACTTCCGTTATTCAACTGTGATGCTGTTTCGATTCATAGATTCCACGGCATCCATTCAACAACTCGATTTTCAATCGTCATTCTCACGTCCTTATGTAGTGAGCACTTTCCACCTTGCGTGTCCTGGCTTGAAACGGTTTGTTGCGGGATGAACAGCGGGCAAACCTAACCCAAACGAGTATGCCTCGTGTTGTTTTCTCAGGCATGTTTTGGTATTGGTGTGGTAGCGATCTTGTGTCCTATTTAATTGAGGTCAAGATCTCTTTCTTTTTACATGTTGAGTGCAACATATTGGGATCTAGTTATCCGTTATTCTTCACTGATGTTAGTTTTAACGATTGAGGATTGTTTATTGTTTGTATTATTGTTTGCTGTGATGCCTCTGATGATCCTTTGTGTTCCACAACATCCGAACCGTTTGAGACAACTCGGAAAATTGAATTCCGTAGTCATCCGCCGAATCGAGTTCAGGTCACTTTCTGTATTGCCATGGCTATTAGATACATTGCGCTGAAAACCCATTATATGCCTGAAACTAGGCTTCCACTACCGTAATCTTCGTGTATCCGACTGTCCTTACTCTTAGTTTAAGACTTTTTCTCCGGTTTGCAGATCCACAGGATCTACTGAACTTTTGAACAGTGGCTGTTCAAGTACAGCCAGCGGAGCCGAATGTAACAAACACATTTGTGATTTCAGTACCCGGTCCGTCGACGCGTGTTGTGAGGGTGGCAGAAATCCAGTGCATGGACACCGGATCTGAATTATTCTGAATTATTCGTTTTGCGAATTTCGTGTGTGGTTCAGTAGGCGTGCCGAAGTCACCGAGGACGGAGATGCTAGATTTCCGTCCTCTGCCTCTTCACACTGTAGAGTCCCTTGGATATTGCAGCTCTGAAAAGTTGGTCAGCCTATGGTATAGCGATAGCAATTTAGAGAAAGTATTCGAACTCAATGGAATTTTAGGGAACAATATTTCCGCCCGTACAGTGTCTTAAAAGCCTCGGCTTAACTATGCCTAGTCACGAGCAAGCTATAAAAGAAAATCACCTCCATATCAATCACATAAAAACTCTTTTATTCTAAATACACGGCGCACTATGGCGACCATGGAAAAGACTAATACAGAAGTTTGCATATATACCCTCTGACATTCTTTGAAATTACCAAGCCGCTGACCTTCTGAGTATCACCATCGAGCCTTTTTATGCAATTTCTCTGGAGGAACTGTCAACCAATGACTGATTCGAACCAAAATGGTCATTTAACTTTATTTACCGGAAATGCATTCATCGGAACCTCATCAGAAAGTCATCCGTTATTTTCAAAAATTCAGGTATTTTGTTAGATCCTTTATTGGAGTTTAAACATGACAGTATATGAGTATTTTTTGCGCAGTAAGACGAGGATGACTTAGCTCAATTTTATTTACTTAGTTATTTTGTATTCCGTTATCCATATGATGCGCGTTCTAGAATAGCGTCTTTAATGTTTGTAAATACCTCCATTATTTGCCAGGTTAGCGTCGTTTAAAAGTTCCTAACAATACATTACTCATAAGCAGTTTCCTCATGCCTCTTGTGGGTAATAGTCATCCAGCCCAGATAATAAAGCAAACCTCATTTGGTTGACATTTCTGACTGTATCATGTTACTTCCATTTCTAATCAGGTGTTTGATGAACTAATAAGACAACTCACCATTCACTGTGCAGAAAGAGGTCTCTTGCTTCTGCGCGTACGAAACGAGGTTGCGACCACGCTAGCTGCCCTTCAGTCGATCTACGCATCGGGAGTAGTGTTTGGACTGCAGAAGTCTCTTGCTCGGGAAGCTGATCGTAACCGGCAAACAGCGCGGATCCAACAATTGGAGCAAGAGATTTCCCTTCTCCGTAAAAAGATGCAAGTAGAAGCCTTGAACTGTCGGGCTTTGGAGGAGAAAGAAGCCAACCGTTTGGCTGCAGCAACCCGACGGGCTGAGGATGATGTGAACTTTTTGCGGAAGGGTCATGACCAACTAAAAGCACAACTAGAAGATATTCTAAACCAATTTAAACTCGTGTCTACCTAAAGATGACGTACCTCTATGGTACATGAGACAACAGGATGAAAAAAATGAATAATTGAGAATCACAACATAATGTCAAGACACTGATTTGCTTTCTGCTTCTGAACTGTGTGATTAGAACACGCCGAGCATGATCGTGTGTTTTTAACATTTGTGGTTCGAACGGTTCTGTATGTCCAGAGTGTCGTCAGGTTAGGCCAGCCCATCGCTCCCAACAAGCCCATGAGTGTTGTTTCACCGATCTTATCGCCTCTGGTTCATATCTTCTTCAGCGGTTTGCACCTTTCACCACATTTTGGACCGCGTAAACCGCCCGTGATTTATCCATTGTGCGCACGCGTCCAGTGCATTAACTAGTGCTGACCGGTAGGTATATTTCGAATGCCAGACATCCACTGGTCTATCAAAACGGTAGGTTGTATCAGCTGGTGTAACACAAATAAAGCGCGGAAGCCAGAGAATCAAAAATAGTTTATTGAGTCGGATTTCATAAAATATCTATCCTGTGGGAGAGTTGTGGGAAAGCCATCTGCAACTTAACCTACCATTAACAGAAGACTGGATCTCTGGTTTACAGCAACCTTCGACTGAGTGTTGTGCAGGGTGGTTACCTCATCATCCTTTATTTGGAATAATAGTCTAAACATTATTCTTGACGCAAGATTACGGACAGCGCCTTTGATAGCTTTCCACTGACCTTATAATTATTCTTGTGTTAATTTCTGTTCAAGTAGAACATAAGGTTGACGGGCACTCTGGGACTTCGCCAACCAGATGATCCCAAAAAGGGCAAAACCGGTCGTGGGCTGTAGACGAATTTTCAGCAACCTTACAAGTAGTGTATTACGTCATCATAGTGTTACCTTTAAGCACAAAGATCCTTCTCGTCCTACAACCTTATGGTTATACTCAAGTCACAAGTGTTGGTTTATTCGTTCTTCTATATTGCAACCAACTCTGTAGCATGGGTGGTCTTGAAATCTTTAGGTTTTAATAGTGAGATAAGTGAGCTAAATGGTATATGATTGACGGTTGTGTCCGGGAATACTTTCCGTTACGGCGGGATGATCCTCGGCTGTTCCCTTAACTTATAAACTAACTACGGTATTTTCTGGCGCAAAGTGCTTTGAGTTTCATTGAAAATTTTTCCAGAAGGCTGATACCTCCCGTTCTCATCAATTCACCGCTTGGATGTAGCGGATCGTTTCCGTACCTAACCAAAACACCTGACATCAGTTATAAATAGGGTAAATTACAATCTGATAACAACCATACTCCTTAAAAATAGGTTTATGGAGCAATAATTTTCCAGTTTCCGGGATCCGAC